GCCGCAGGGCCGCGCGGCTTCCTGTCTCAGGGCGCCGACGCGCGGTCGCCTGCCTCGCCTTCCGTCGCTGGTCGGTTTCTGTCGGGGGTACTTCCTGTGGGGAGTTCTCACCAGTGACTGCCACGTGCTGGTAACTTTGTGAACCACGGTGCCACCGCCTCAACGCAGTGGGTGGAATCTGTGCTTCACCCCAGGGGACTGGTTGTCACGTGAGCCCCGGCCACGGCTCCCAGGCTGGGGCTTCTCTGTGAGGACCCAGGCTGGTCCTGACAACATGCATCACACGCCGCACCTCTGCCTGGGCCCTCCTTCCCCAACAAGCCTTTCCCACGGACCCAGCCCCCCGTCCACCCGCTCTGACTACGGGACTTCGGGCTGCTTTCTGCATTTCTCAGATGGACGTTTGACTTGTGCGTCAGAAGCATAACCACAAACGAGAGACCTGGAGTCAACGCTGAGACGCATGCATGAGTGACGGTGCAGTGTGGGGCGGGCGGCCTCTCTCGAGCCTGCGCTCACCTGCCTCGCTAGCTCACGGTCTCGTGAGGCAACTTACGTGAGGTAGAAATATTACCTTTACCATAGTATGGCTTTTTGACGTGGCTGTCGCCTGCCTTCGGCTTCCTCTCCTCCCCGGGGAGCGGTCGTGGCGACTGGTCCTCGTAGGACCTCATGCTGTCCCGCCTTCCAGCCTCCAGCGCCATCTTCTCCCTCATGGCCTTGGCCCGCTCCGTCTCCAGAGCGATGGCCTTCTCCAGGAGGGTCAGGTTCCCCTTGGTCATGTCGAACACCTCCTCGGACCGGTCCGAGTTCACGGAGGCCGCGTCGTCGTCCCCGCCGCGGTACCCGTCCTCCCTGGCGCAGCTGGAGAAAGTTCTGGAGCGCGGGCTCAGCTGCTCCTCCAGCCGCATCAGGTTCACCATGTCAGAATAGCTGCGGTCGGGCGTCCGGCCCGGGAAGTCATCCTCCTGCCGGCCGAGCGGGCGGAGGCCGGGGTTGGGCGGCGCGGGCCGGTCCTGCGGGGCGGTCTCGCTCAGCTTGCGGGCCAGGTCGAAGCACTGGTTCCGCAGGCACTCCAGGCTGCTCAGACACGCCTCCTCGTCCCTCTCCTCCGCCAGCTTCTCGGCCAGCCCGCCGCCCGCCGGCTTGCCCAGCATCACGTAGTTGAGGCCGCGCGCGTCCGGCGGTGCCAGCGGGTCGGCGTAGGCCCGGTCGGCGGCGCTGTCCGCCAGCACCACGCCGTGGCCCTGGGCCAGCAGCTTCAGGGAGTCCACGGTCTCGCGGACCACGTCGCTGTCCAGGTCCAGGCTGAGCTCGGCCTTCCGGCCCAGGCCCTCGGGCTTGTCGCCCTCGTCCTCCAGGCTGTGGGAGGTGCTGCTGTTCATCTCGGACTCGGTCCGGGCGCGGAAGGCGGCGTCCTCGGCGATCTTGCCCAGGTTCAGCAGGGACTTGGCCACCAGCTCGTCGTAATTGTCGTACTCGTCATTGTCGTCATCCTTCCCCGCGTCCTGCGTGCCGCGAGGGTTGTGGCAGCTCCCCTGGCGGGCCTCTGCAAAGACAATTAAAGACAAGGACAGAAAAGAAGAGGGAAACGTGGCTAGCACTCGAGGTGCGGCTGCACCAGCGCTGACGGCAGCAGCCTGCCCGCCAAGCCCTGCTTGTCGCACGGCCGAACCCCCGGACCACCTGCGGGCGCACTGACCGTGTGGAAGTGAAGGAAACAGAACGTGCAGGAAGACGGGGGCCCTTGGACATCCTTGCCGTGAGCTATGCACTTTCTTCACGCACGTTCAAAGAAACCAGTACATACGGTAAATGCACCTTTAAATGTTAATTTTTCATTACGTTTAAAGTTTGAGAATTACTTTTTATTGGCTTTGTTTATGGGCAGCCCAACCAGATGCATAATAATGTGCTCAGCATACGACTAGGCTTTCTCAGCACTTGTGAACTTTACGTGTCGCGGGCTCTTAAGCAGATGGTCACAGCCATTGCTTTTAAATGATGCCCACAGCGATGTCCAGGCAGCGCAGGACAAAGCCGAGGTTCTTGAGGGTGGTGCAGGGAGGGGCGGCACTGGCTTTCTGTTCAGGAGTACGTGTCTGGGCTGAGAGCGGTTTTGAGTTTTCTACCTGAGAGATAACCTGTCAGGGTGCGCAGCGAAGCAACAGGAATGCCCTGGCAAACACTCAGAAATGAAACCTGGTAACTGTGATTTCTCAGACGCATCTCAGCAGGCTGAGAGAGAGGGCGGGGGAAGCTACGCGGTGACCGAAAGCCTGAAGAAACAGGACTGAGCGAGCTGGCGCAGCCACGGCCCACGGACAGCGTCTGTGACTGGCCGTCCAGCCCACAGCCGCGGGAGCATCTGGGGGAGCTGGTGGAAGTGACCTGGGAATCGGCTGTGATCAATCTCAGAAAAACTTAGGAAAACTCATTAAAAATTAGACGAAACCTCTGCATTTCATCCGAGGCGCATTCTGTTTAACACTAAAGGAGTATCTGGAACACGCAAACACGCCTGGTCACTGCTGTGTGTCCTGCAAAATGTACAAGTAATAAACGGACCCTCAAATGGACCCCCGCCTCAGGCTGGCTTTGCTTAACTGCCATCTTGGAATGCACTCTTTGTTCTATGATTAAACAAGCCAGAGTAAGAGGAATTTCTAAGGCTTATTAATGAGGAAAGGAAGCACCGTGATTCGCAGACACCAGCTGACTTGGAGCTATGTCAGGTGCCTCAGTGTTGCCCTTATGGGTTTTGTGCTGCCTCCTCAGAAAAAGCTTTTGCTGGTGAAACAGGTTTGGATACGCCCCTATCAACACAGGTCAGCAGCAGGAACAGCGCCCTTGCTGGCCGCACCCCGCGTCAGCACGTGCGAAACCTAATGCAGCTCCCTGAGCACCCGCAGATCAGATTTGCGTCTCTCGGTCAGAGAGCATCACTCACTGTACGAACACATACTGTCTCGCTCCTGGATAATTCCTGTGAGTCAGATTCCTTGGTGTAAAGACACACATTTTCCCAAAGAGCAGCAGAAGGAAGGAAGACAAAGCCAGCGAACGCACCAGAAACCCCCCAGACGCACACACGCACCCCAGGGCCAGCTGTTGAGACGCGGCGGCAACCCTGTTCTCAATCCTGTCTGTCCTCATGAATCTTTGAAAATTAACTTATGTTCTCCTCTCAGTTCACACACTTTGCTTTTTACGTTCGAGGGCTGATGAGAGAAGCAGCCTCTGGGTAGCCAGGCTACGTTACCTCCGCACTAAACTGGAGTTTTGAGAGCCAGCACCCCCGCACCTGTCAAGAACCAACCGCAAGATGAATCTACAAGTCACGGTTTGAAATGAGACAGAACATGTGACGTTGGGAAAAATTCTGAGAGTTGAGTCAGAGAAGAAACCAGAGTCAGGTGAGAGGCACCCGTTTCACGACTTCCTCTTAACTGTCTTGGGAGACGCGTCTTGTCCCCCCAGGAGCTCGGAGGAGGGGGGGGTCAGTGGGAGAAAGACCCAGAGCCACGGTTTAGGGGACCCTCCTTCTCCTGCCAAACCTGGTGTCCGTGTGACGCGTTAATTCTTCCGATTTGGAATCTCAGGATCATCTTTCATCCGTTTGCCCCAAACAGGAAGCGGGTTTTGCTGTGACTCTGAGCCTCCCAGGGGCCCCACACGGCCCTCAGCGTCACACAGGAAAGGGACGCGTCTCACTTGTGCAACAGACACCTGCTTGCCTCCCCGCTCCACCTGTAAACTGCTTCCCCTGAAGGAGGGAAAACAAAGGCTCACACAGCCTCCCCACCGCAGAGAGCAAGCTGAGAGGTGGTTCCCTCCTGAAAGCCCCGAGCCCGCAGGCCGCCCCGGCGTAGCGCCGGCGCGGGGTTCTGCACACTGCTGTGGCCACGCGGGGTGAAAATGGAAACAGAAGCGATGCCGCCTGGTCCGGGCTGCGCCTTTGCTGCTCGCTGGCCGCGTGATGCTGGGGACCCCAGCCTGGTCGCTCTGGGGAGCTGGGACCGGAGTCACAGGAAAACGGCGCCTGTAGAGACCCCCACAGTGAGGGCGCTCTGCACACCTGTGGTGGGTCTCACCGGAACCAGCCTACTTGTAGGAGGAATCTGAACATCACCGGAAGGTGGATTAGCGTCTGACCGAGCAGGGCCTACTCTGCCCCTGGGTGACCAGTGCAGCAGTCCATTCTGATGTGGAAAAGGATGGAAATTAGGAATACCCTGGAGGGGTTCACAGCCCCAGCTTCCTGGAGAGCGCGAGGGACAGTGGGCAGGAAGGCAGGACCGTAGGGGACACCAGGCATGAGGTGACACGGAGAGGACAGTGGGACCGACCGGAGGACCGACTGACCACCTCACTGTTCCACTGACACTGACCCGCCGATTACATGTAAAGTGCGCAGCTGCGTCCCTGACACCAGACAGGGCAGGTGTGGCCCGAGGCGCCAGGCACAGGCAGGTGCCCAAAACCGTGCTCACGCCACGGCGGCCTCAAGAGGTGCCCAGAACTGTTTCCACAGACTGATAAAGTGCCTAACATCTCTGCTAAAAGTGGCTTAAGGTGCACGGCTGCTCTCTGGAGTAAGACTTCCCTATTGACTGCGAGAAAGTGCTTCGAATTAGCTGTTACTGTTTTCTAATTAAGGGGAGCAGAGACCCTGCAGGGCAGTGGTAATCTCCCAGCGCTGCGGGAAGGGGCTGGGGCCCCTGCGCCGTCGTGAGACTCTGGACTTGACACTCCAGCCGGCCAGTGTCACCATTGTGCGGGTGGTCCTGTCCGCACGTGCCCTGTCCGTGGACAGCCGGGCCTCGCAGCAGGTCCTGCTCTCAGGAAGCACCCCCGCAGGCTGGCCTGGCGCTCTGCCCAGCTGCCCTGCTGTGCCGTCTCCGGGCAGGGCGGCCCACCGCTCAGGTTTGGAACAGCAGACGGACAGCCTCTCCAGGGCCTTTCCTTCGCCGCCAGTGCCACCCACACCCCGGCCTCCCATCTCTGTGGCTTCACATCAGACAGCAGGCTCTTTGGTCTCATTGGTGCTAATCCCTGCGGAGACGATTCTGGTGAATTACGGGCAACCACCCAAATACGCTTCCAGCCCCTTTTCTCTGAGCTGTGTGCTGTGTTGTCCGTGGCTACTGGTGGGCTCTGGTCTCATTGCCACACAGCCTGTGCTCTGAGCAGCTCGCCCGCTTCCCCACCGAAGGAGTGGGTTTACTGGACTTGGATTCGCTGGTACTATGGAATCTGCTGCTGTCTTTGCATCCATCTTTGTAAACCACCCCATTCCGTGCAGCAGGAGCAAATGCTTCCCTCCGGCCCAGTGAGGAGCGCGCCGTGTCCCCACTGCCCGCAGACTCAGGGAGGCCCCACACCCTGGGCTCGGCCTCCCGTCACAGACCCGCCAGGGCTCTCCACCGAGTCCGGCATATCTGAAAGGCTTCTGATCTGCGCTCCTGTCCTTGCCTGAAGGCCCTCCTCAGCCCACGTGAACCAGGCAGGACAGAGACCCCCTGCACTGCCGAGCCCCAGCCTGCCCTGGTGTCCCGCGTCTCAGGTGAGGGTGACCCGAGACGTGCAGACCAAGGCTGGGGTCGGGGCAGCTGGTCCAGCTGAAGCCGCGTAGCTCTCACGCAGCAAACTGAGGCCTCTGGGTTCCACGCCTCTTATTCACCTGGGTCAAACACTGGCGTTTCTGGACACCCTCCTCAAACTTCGCAAGCAAACACTTTGGAGAGGACAACATCAATCACCAGACCCCAGAGGGGTGTTCTGTCATGATTTTGCTTAGGCCAGTTCTGCAGGGCCAGGGGACCACGAACAGGATGTTGCTGTGTATTCCCTTAACAACTCTTTATCCAGCCCTGTTTGGAGCAAAACGCCGAACCAGAGAGGCAGCATGTGGGCAGTCACGGAAGTCACCTTGCAGTCGGCGAGAGAGAAACAGGCAGAAAATAAACACAAACTGTGATGTCGGAGTGACCTGCGCTGTGACGGAAGATGAGGCAGAATTAGGGGACGGGAGGAGAGCAGGGCGGGGGTGACTTCAGGAAGAGCCGAGCAAGCCTCGCTGGGAGAGTGGCCTTGGAACAGAGACTCGAGGAGATGCAGGGCCCCTCCAGGAGGGGAGGCCGCGGGGGAGAGGCTGGTGCGATGGAGGACAGTATTTTCAGCATTTGCACTTTTAATTAATTTAAATTAAATTTAGATTCAGTGAATTTATATTTAAACGACCACGTTCAGCTGGGGGCTGCCAGGTTAGCCAGCCCAGGGTCAGCGCATGGAGGTCCAGTAGGAGCTGAACTCCGATTGTGACTTCTATAACTTCTATAACATATATATATGTTATATGCACATACATATACACACATATAACATATATATGTATATATATACACACACAACATATATATATGTGTATATATATAATTTACATGTGGATTTAAGTAACAGATTTTACATAAACCACCTACCACCAGACCACTGCACAAGCGAGGAACAGCTCCATGACATCCTCGGTCCTGTGGCAGGGTTGTGGGC